ATAGTCCAACCCCTCCCAAGAAGGGGAATTTCCATTGTTAAGAGAGACACTTGTTAAGTGAGTTCTGCTCCATGTTACCCGCTTTTTTGTCCCCGTTGTTTAGCGAATTAAGTGAGTAACACAGTTGTTAAGTGAATCTGGCTTCCTCATCGACCTTGCTGGTCGGAGCCCTCAATTCCTATATTTAAGAGAAACCAGGTAACGTTTCACAGGCCAATACTTTGGGAGGAATCCAAGGCGCACCCTCTACCTGTATGCAGCAGCCATGGGTGGGCTCTCTCCTTGAGCCCCACCCAAGACCCACAAAGGGGAGGGGGCAGAGCAGGGCTCAGGGCTGTCAATCACGGCTGTCCAAAGTCTCATCATAAAAGTTGCATGAAAACTATCGAATTAAAAGGGAAAGCACAGACACAGAATACATTGCAACATGGTTTATTTGGATGGATAATAGATATAAGAATAGATAATTTAAATAATGTATATAATAAATAAGAGGTTATGAAAGTATGATGTATTGTCATTTTTGATAGGACACATAGTCACAGCGCTGTTTAATAACTATTGGTATTATGTATACATGGAAAAAAACTAAAGAAAGCATTATTTTAAAAAAAGTTGTTTTATGCAAAGCACCCTAAATTGCATTTTATGCAGGAAAAAAAACCCAAAGGGATCCTTCACCTGGAAGCATCCAAATAGGGGTTTCCACAGGGCAGGGCAGGGAGGGAGGGGTGTCAAAAAAAAGTCAAAATGGCAACCGGAACTATGCAAGGAATGCCCCACATTTTTTTGGGGGGGGGTGGCTTTTGTGTTCCATGGACGGTTCAAAAGATACCAGAACCAGAAATATTCTTGTTAGGTATTTTACCAGAAAAGTACAATAATAAAGGGAAGACACATTGAATTTTACACGTGTTTTAACAGCAGCGAGAATTGTGTTTGTACAACAGTGGAAAAATGTAATTAAAAAAAAAAAAAGAATGCGCAGAGATGGATAGATGAACACTCAAAAGAAACGAGAAGGAAGAAACGGAATATTTTTTTTAACATGGGACTCGCTTTATCAATGGTTGGTCGACAGAAACAGAAGTTAGAAACTCAAAAGTTTAAGAGCATGATTAACTATAGAATGAAGGCCTATTAGTATGGATAAGCTATTATTATTATTATTATTATTATTATTATTATTATTGGTTAATCTATAGTGAGATTCACAGCCTTTGGGGCTGGTTGGTATTATTATTATTATCATTATTATTATACACAAAAAACAACAGTGTACACAGCAAACGAGATAGCTATGCTGGGTTTTGTATCACAAATCACTAGACGAACACTTCCCAAGCAATTATTGTTGTTGTTGCTGTTTTTTGTGGTTGTTGTTGTTAATCTTTGGTGAGATTCACAGCCTTTGGGGCTGGTTGGAAGCTCAACAGCTCGAGTCCTAACCAACAACCTAGGAACTGTTAATAATGATAATGATAATGATAATGATAATGATAATGATAATGATAATGATGATAAATCATTATTATATTATTATTTACTTTATTCATTAAACATGAAACTCAGTCAACTAAACATTCAAAAATGCATCACAAATACCATTGACTGGTGCTAATGGTTGACACGGGTTGCTGCCAGCGTATTCTTCTCCTCCTCCTCCTTCTCATTATTATTATTATGAATAATCTTCTTCTTCTTCTCCTCCTCCTCCTCCTCCTATTATTATTATTATTATTATTATTATTATTATTATTATTATTATTATT